GATTGTTTATGCATACATAGAGATTGAGCTGAGGTGTGGGGGCAAATCAGTCTTAGATGTGTAGTTTTTAAGTTGTGATCATTTCAAATTTCTTATTTTTTTTTTGAGACAAATAAGATTCATGCTTGATAATGAAAGATGGAATTTTGAGCTCCAATTACAAAGCTGAGAAATGACTTAATCTCTCTGGACCACAGGTATACTGCTGTGTTATACCCAATATCCAAGGAAGGGAGAATTTTCTTTGGGGGGATTTGAGTTTACAAAGTGAAAAGGTCTGACAAACTAAGAGTAAATGATAAAACTAGTCAATATTATAATACTTGGGCCTTATTAAAGTCACAAAATTGAAGATCTGTGTACTAAGCTATGTATTTAATGTTTTAAATTTGAAAGGTAAGCTTTCTTCCCTGGACTGAAGATCGGTCCATTACCTTGCTGTGCTATACAAAAAAATGATTCATTATTACAAGTAAACAGTAAAAGGTCAGCTGGTTGCTTAAGAAACAGCAAAAATAATGCCAAAGCCTTCTCAAATCTGAAGAAATCATCTTTGGTGTTCGCTTAATTGAGGAAGGTTAACCTTTTCAAATATCTGCTTATTTTTATCTTATGTTTAGGAGTATGTGTGTGGGTGACATGTGTGTGCGTTGTCATCAGAAGAGGCCATTAGATCCCCTGCAACTGTCTTTACAGCCAGTTGTCACCTCTCCAGCACCATGCCAAAGTATAATTTTCACATGAAAATAAGGGAATAACCGAAATGCAATGCTATTTAAATTCTTTATTTGTAAAGACACTTCAATATTGTTTCAATATGGCTATGGTTTCAGCACTGAGAATGCACCCCTTTTGGGGCATGTAAACTCTGATGTAAGCATTCTTGATTTCATTAGACTTTCACTGAGTAAAAGTTACTGGTTGCATGGAAATAAGTACTGAAATGGAGACATTGAAGCTGATCGCTAGTTCTCAGACAAGCAGAACTGTGTTTTGTGCTCCTAGACTATTTTTATGTCAATGTTTTATTTATAAAAATTGATCTAAGAGATATTTTATCCATTATCCTAGTTTTCATTAGATGGGAAATGTAGATGTCACTGTTTCGTAAGAACATGGTAGCTTACAGGGCTGGGCAAGGAACTCCACAACTTCAATCCCAGAACCCAGGAGGCAGATGTTTGAGGTCAGCCTGCCTGGTGTACGTAGTGAGCCCCAGGCCACCCAGCCCTACATCATGGAATCCTGTCTCTAAAGCAAAGAAACACACACACACACACACACACACACACACACACACACACACGAGAGAGAGAGAGAGAAAGAGAGAGAGAGAGAGAGAGAGAGAGAGAGAGAGAGAGAGAGAGAGAGAACTGCAGTTTATGTTGGTATACATAATGAAGAAGTGTTTGACACCAACTCAAAATAACTTGTAACTCTATTTTTGGTATACAAATCAACAATTGAATATCTCAACATAGATATCACAGGAATCACTTTTCCATCTTCCCCGTATTCAAGAATAAGTACAATATCTCAGTTATCTCAACTTACACCAATACATTTGAGCCTTCTGGGCACAGAGATGATTTCTTGACTTTGTTTGTATCGCCAGCACCATGGACAGTACTGGCCACAAACCAGCTCATAGACTGTTTTGCAGTCTTAAATAATTTCCTTGTGATAGCATATTTGATGTTACTGGAGATATAAATAACCCAGGCTTAAACATGATTTCACTTCACAGTGACAAACTCTGTGTGCAAATTACTTCCAAATCATTGTCATTTCTCTTAAGACAGGAACATTTATCCTGGTAAAATGCCGCTAGCATAGACACATTGTTGCAAAATACCTAAGTTGTAGCCCGGACAAAACCACCACAACAATGTAAGAGGTTTGACACATTTTTCTTAATTCCCTGTTCAGCTGATACTTTATACATATATTCTTTCTGACTCTGACTCTTATTACTCACATGCACAACAGGAAAAAAAAAAAATGTGGGTCTGAGAAACTACCAGTTTGTTTTCACTGAAGAAACTGCCCTTTGGTGGGAAGAAGAGAAAATGTGCCAAGTGCTACTTAACCATCTTCCTGGAAGCTCATATTTGTTCGGTTTGCACTAAATTAGTCTTTTCTTCCTATCTTTTCAAAAACCCTTTGTTTGTGGGACAGCGGGTCTGACAACCATTGTCTATTCGCGGAAATGCCACCCCAGGACTCCGCCCGAGCTGGGGGTGGGGAAGAGGCCGCGCGCATGGAGAGATCGGCTGAGAATTAAAGTGAGCGAACAAAGAGAACTCCCGGCAGCCGTGCGCCAGCGCCTCTCAGCTGCATCAGGAGACTCCTGAGGATGTAGCCTGCTCCAACTGGCCTCCCAAGGAAAAGAGCTCAAGTAAATAATTGATGGAGATTGATCGGCTCCGAGACAAAGCTTTGCAGGAAACCAATACATCAGATTTTAAGCGGTTTTGGAATCTTCTGCCAAGTACAGGAAATGGGAGTGGAGCAGTGATTTTGATGAGCTAGGCTGATAACTCTCCATCTGGGGCGTGGCTCTGGCCTTTTTGTCTTCTTGCCTCCCATCCGCTGCTACCCTGGTCCCCCATCTTCACCTTCTCTTTCCTCTTTAAGTAACCACTCCGGTTACTTCTCTCCTGTCCTCCCTCCAATCCCTCCCTCTTTCTAGCCCAGTCCAGTGAGGTCAGCTCATGAATACCGCTGCACTTCCTGGGGAGCGTCTGGCACGGCTTGGTACCCGGAGCATCGGCCTGCTGGAATCGCACGCAGTTGCAGCCCAGCCAAGCACCACCGGCTAGGAACCGGCTCCCAGAGTCCCGAGAGGCTTTGTGGTTACCGCCTTTGTTTGGAGAACCCGAGTGGGTGTGGATCCCATGCAAGCGAGCCTGCTCAGCAAGAAAGTCTCTTATAATACAACGAAGTTGAACTCTTTCTCTGAAGATAGACAAATAATCCCGGAGGTCTCTGAAATATTAGGAAGAAAGCGGTGTTGATTTGCATCAGCTTCCCAGAAGCAGCGCCTCTAGAGAAGTAAGAACTTCTGGATTTCTAAAGAGATGAGGATGAGAAACGGGGGTGGAGGGAGGGGTGTTCCTGGGACAGAAAGGATTTGAGATGGAAAGGGTTGATTTGGTCTTTACTGAAATTGCTTGGATGGCGATTTCTACTGGAGGAAGTCTTGGGATACAGTACCTTGTCACTTTGTTAAGGAGCAAGTGACAGCTACGAGGTGCCTTAGATTGTGAAGTTAGTTCTTGAAGCCCAAGTTTTCTCTGTGATTAAAGTAGTCTGGGGATCAGGCCTCAATGCCCGGCTTCTCAGCTACTGAGTGGATCTGTTTAGTTAAATATAACTTTGTATTGCCCGTATAATTATTGGATGGCCCACATTAGTCTGACCTGTGGTAAAGTAGGCCAGAGAATAACTTTGTTTTCCCCTCTGAAGTAGTCTTTGTTTATCTTTGAATTGCAAGTGAGTTGACAAGAGTTTCCAGAGACAGAAAAAGCAGTGGAGGGAGAAATGATCACATCTTCAATTAAGATACTTAAAACAGACAATATCAGTAATAATGTAAGTAAGATACTGGGAAACCATCTCTGCTAAATGGTGTGTGTGTGTGTGTGTGTGTGTGTGTGTGTGTGTGCGTGCACGCACAAGAGAAGTTTGTGTATAATCGTGGCCTTCCTGTGTTTTGTAGATAAATAATGTTCTTCTGGAAAGGGGGCCAAATGAATTAACTGAGTAACTAAGAAGGAAAACCCACAGGGTAGTAGCTTGCTTTTTTCCAATTTATACTAGTATGCTTAGTTTGGAAAGATAACACCGTATATCTTACCACCATAAAGGAAAGTGAACAGCCTTCTGGGTGCAGGGTGTTCTGTTCAAGAACTTGACTCCTTAGGAGTGAGTGAGCATTCTAACATTATTAAATGTAAAATTTATTTTATGTGTATGAGTACTTTGTCTGAATGTATATTTGTGTATCTTATATGGACCTGGTGTCCAGGGAGGCCAGAAGAGCGTGTCAGATTCTCTGGAACTGGAGTTATAGACAGTTGTGAGTGTTGTGAATAGAAGTTGGGTCCTCTGGAAGAGCGGCCAGTGCTATTAACTGCTGTGCCATCTCTCCTGGCCCATGAGTAGGCACATTAAAGAGATACCACCTAAGGAGATGTTTAAGAATGAAACTTCTCCACACAGAACTTACAACTGAGTGCTTCATAAGGACACAACAAATTAATGTAGACAGACTCATTACTAAAAACTTCACAACCTGTAGACAATTTTCCAAAAAAAAAAAATTATAAGCTACAAAAATAATCTCTTTGGGGTTGCCAACTTTTTCCTTGAGATTGGGGTTGATTTCTAGAGCACATTTTCTTTTGTGAGATAGTTGGCCATAATTAAGGACAGCATTAGAGGCTGAAGCTAAATGAGAAATGTGCATACATAATCGCGTTTTTTTAAGTGACATCTGGGAATACTAATCAAATAAAATTTATCTCCACTAAACTGTTTTAAATACATATTTGATGCTGAAGAAAGCCCTTTGATACCTATTATATGTAAACATTTCCTTCGACTTCAGAAGTCTCTTCCAGATCTTATCCCCCTGTCCCTGTCCACCATTTTCTTTCCCATTCATTTCTTTCTAAACTTGTGTCTAATCCTTTCCAAAACGTGCACCTAGGGAACACAAGCTTCAGCTGCCTTTGACTGAGATGGAGTAAGACAGAAACAGCGCCACTTTGGGCAAAATGAGAACTAACAGCCCTGCACCCTTTTCCTAATCAATGGTTTCATTAAATTCTGGCTTTCCAAATCTCAATCTCTATAGCTTCTCTTGTCCAGCTAATTCACCTTTGAATATGCAACAGCTTAAACATACTGTATATTTCTTTTCTTTTATTCTCGCCCCAGCTTCGAAAGGAAGGTTGGTGGCAGAAAGGATCTAGAATGATCTAGAGATGGATGGTTCCAGGTCGCATCTGGTAGGCTCATCCTAGACTGCTATGAGTCAGCCACCGTCCGGGGGCGCTGCCCCAGCTGCAACCTCAGCTTCTGCCGCCGCCGCCGCCGCCACGGAGGCTCGCTTGCACCCGGAGGGCAGCAGCAGAAAGCAGCAAAGGGCTCAGTCACCTGCTAGGCCGAGGGACAATTCTTTCCGACAGACCTCGGCGGCCACGCGGTCCCCGCTTGGGGTCGGCACTAAACTCAATTCCGTTCGGCAGCAGCAGCTGCAGCAGCAGCAGCAACAGCAGGGTAACAAGATAACCGGTCGCGGCACCTCTGGGGCGGGCTCCAGAGGATGCGGAGGCGGGGCGGAGAAGACGCCTGTGGTACCCAAAGGGGCTGCTTCAGGAGCCGTCCAGACTGCGCCTGGTGCTGAAGGGGCCCCCGCGGCGAGCTTGGCCTCTGTGAGCTGCAGGAGGCCGGGACCGCCGGAGGAGACTCCCCGGGAGATAGAATCGGTGCCCTCGAAAGTCGGGGAACCCCCTCCACTAGGGGGAGGAGGAGGGGGCGGGGAAGGAGGAGGAGCCGCCGGCGGCCCGGGGGACCGGGAGGGGGGCGCTCCGCAGCCGCCGCCGCCCAGGGTTTGGAGAGCGAAAGGCGTTCGCGCATCGCAGAGGGGTAGCAGCGGCGGGGAGGGGGTGTCCCCTTCGCCACACACCTCTGCTTCAAGCAGAGCCCCCGGCCCGGGCAGCAGAAACTCTGGAAGCGGCATCGCAGGGGGCGGCAGCGGCGGTGGAGGGAGCTACTGGAAGGAGGGATGTCTGCAGTCTGAGCTCATCCAGTTCCATCTCAAGAAGGAGCGGGCGGCAGCGGCGGCCGCCGCGGCTCAGATGCACACTAAAAACGGTGGCGGTGGCAGCCGCAGCTCTCCGGTCGCCGGCACCCCTGCCATCTGTGAGCCCCTTGTGGTCCCCTCCTCCTCCCCAATGGCGGCCGCCGCGGAAGGCCCCCAACAGAGCGCAGAGAGTAGCGGCAGCGGCGGGGCCATGCAGGCAGCGGCTCCCCCTTCATCGCAGTCCCACCCGCAGCAGATTCAGGAGCAGGAAGATATGCAGGAAGAGATGGAGAAGCTGCGGGAGGAGAATGAGACTCTCAAGGTGAGGAGGATAGGGGGTGGGGACGGAATGGGGGAGGGGAAGTGTGGGGCCTCCGAGGATTAGGGCGTGTCCCGGCAGGGTTGGAAGGCTGCTAACCTGTTAGGGCCACAGGGAGGGAGGGAAACTAGGAAGGTGAGGGAGGTTCATGGCTTGCTCCCAATCTGAAACGGAACCTAATATTAAGACCGTTGCGTTTCATTTAAAAACCAAATCCAGGCCTTCATTTATCCGATTAGCATGATTTGTCCCACTTTCTCATGGGCAGAGAGAGGTGGAGTAACAGAACGAAAGAAGGCCTAAACTGGGCCTGGTTTTCCAGTCTCTGCTCTCCGCCCCCTGTCACTCCTGTCTGGTGGAGAAGGAGGCAGCAATCCTCGGTATTGGGAGTAGGCATGGGATGTATGCGATTCGTATCTGAGGGGCTAGCAACAAGGCTGATTGTGACCCATGGCCTGTCACCGTCTCAGAACGAGATCGATGAGCTGAGGACCGAGATGGACGAGATGAGGGATACTTTCTTCGAGGAAGACGCTTGTCAGCTGCAGGAGATGCGCCATGAGTTGGAGAGAGCCAACAAAAACTGTCGGATCCTGCAGTACCGCCTCCGCAAAGCTGAGCGCAAAAGGCTCCGTTATGCACAGACTGGAGAAATTGATGGCGAGCTGTTGCGCAGCCTGGAGCAGGACCTCAAGGTCTGCAGCTGTGCGGGAGAGGGGCGAGGGTGCGCCGGGGTCAGCGGGTGGAGACTTTGGTGAGGGCTCTTTGAGGGTCTTCACTGATGACCAGCAAAGGGCCTTGGATTCCTAGCATTCATCACAAAACGGGAAGGAAATGTTCAGGGGTGTGTGTGGGGGGGTGGGGGTGGTGGTGGTGGTGGTGGTGGTGGTGGTGGTGGTGGTAGTGGAAGTGGGTATTTTCCTGGGAGTAACTTCCAGAAGTAATGGAAAGAGGGCGCCTCCCTCCTGGGCTGAAACAAGGCCATCCATTGTAAAACCCAAACTCTTCATGGCCTGTATCCAGTGATCTGGCTTGCAATGATGTATTCCCACTGAAGGCCAGTGGAATCAGGCGTTCAAGATCACTGACATACAGAATAGGAATAGCATTGAGAAAACGGTCAAGGTCTCTTGCTGCAAGTCTCAGCTTCCTCTCGGGACCCTTTCCTATCTACACTGACCACTTCTTTAACTCCCCGAAAGGACTTCCCCCTCCCCACCCCTGTCTAAACAGCAACCCATTTGAAGAAGGAAGATGAAGCAGAAGAAAGCATCTCATTTTGGAATGAAGTTGACCTCCCAGAATGTATCCCAGAGGACAGGCTCTGAGACAGCTCACAGATTGCAGTACATGTTTCCATTGAGTGCTCCCTCCATCCAGTCTAAACCAGGACTGGCTATGTCCTGAACATCTACACCAAATGCTTAGTATTCCCTCAAAGCTCCATAATTCCGAGATCTCAAAAGTTGAAGAAGTATATATTAGTATTAGAACAAAAATTTATCTCAAAGACTTAGAATGCTTGCTAATCTTAAATACTTGGAACTAGCTAGAGTTACAAGGGGGGAAAACTAAGCCCCACTACCCAGTAGTTAAAAATGTATTTTCTCCCATTTGTCAATGAGGGCAATAATGAAAGTGTATAGCTCATGGTTTTACTGTACAATTAAAGCAGATATGTTAAATCTATCTATAAGTGAATATGAAAAAAATGAATATTGTTATGATGTAATGAAGTTAAAGAAACAAATTTGAGCCCACCATCTGGGTATCTGTTAGTTGTACAACCCTGAATGTTTTACTTAATATTTACCCCTCCCACAAAAAAGCTGATATAATTGTATCATTTATCCCATGGGATTGTTGTGAGGATTAAATGACTGATACATGAATGGTTTATAGATAAGGTATTGGGAACACTGCCACATAACATGTATTATGGGAATATTAGCTCTTAATGCCTTCAGTATGAATAAAATTATATTTGATTGCTACAAACTCATCATTTTAGGTTGCAAAGGATGTGTCTGTGAGACTTCACCATGAGTTGGAAAATGTGGAAGAAAAAAGAACAACAACAGAAGATGAAAATGAGAAACTGAGACAGCAACTTATAGAGGTTGAAATTGCAAAGCAAGCCTTACAGAATGAACTGGAAAAGATGAAGGAGGTTAGTATCTGTCTGATTATTTCATGATGGACCACGTGTGTCCAGCTCTTTAGAACAGAATCTCAAACATTAACATAACTGCTTAAAATTTTTCTTTTCTGGTTACAATTTGCCAACCTACTTACTTCATATAGTAAGAAATAGAAGAGTTCATGCTAACAGGAAATCGCAAAGCAAATACTCTAACTTGAACTTCTAGTTTAACTTATTATGAGCTACAAATGCATGTTTATGTTGTTGGAATGTGTGTGAATTAAACACATTAGTAAGCACGCAACACACACATGATATCAAGATAAGGAAAAAGCAAAGCCTGTGTTAGTTGTGGGAAACCGTTTTATGAGATTATTGCTGTGTTCACAGAACAATGTGTTCCTAGAATGGGCAGGGCTATAAAGCACAGTCAATCTATTCCAGCCATTACTTGAGTGTTATCTATAGCAGAGCTTCCCAGATTGTTTAATGCTCCACATGTTATCCTGGAGATCTTCCACAGCAGCCAAGTCTACTCCATCAGAGTCTGACAAATGGTTTTTGTTGTTTCCGGTTCTGATCTACCCAATTGCACCTCTAAATGATTGCTCTTAGTTCTACCTTTTAGGGTGGAGGATTCTAAATCCTCTTTTCCATTTTCATCCGATCTTCTGAAAGAATAGTGATCATGGAAAATAAAAAGAGAACAAACTGACCAAAAAACAAAATCCATCATTAAGTTTTTAGAGTCACGATGAAAATTTTCACTGAATTGAAATACTTTTAAGCTACTTTGAGTTATTGGTGAGTGGAAGGTATGAAAACTATGAGTGAAAATAGGCATAAGCAGAAATGACCTCCTGAACAGTTGCCTCTACTTGGATACATAGAATTCCAAAGAATATCTTAATCTTTTTGAGTACTGAGTATCCAGTCACTTGTGTCCACCATTAACAGTGAAAACATCAGCAGTGTGATTAAGAGTCTGTAAATGGAAGGATTCTGAAAATCTCTTTTAGTGACACAAACTATTCTTTGTGATCTTTGTGCCCATTTACTCTTATATCACCCTAACTTTAAATATCCTTAAATTTTTCATTTTTTATTATTTCATTCATCAACAAATTATTTTTTTTTGAAACAGGATCTCTGTGTAGGTCTGGAATTTTCTACGTAGTCTAGGATAGCCTGAGGCTTGGGGAGTCCCTCTGCCTCTGCCTCCCAAGATCAGAGATTGCAGATATGTGCCACTTACACTTTACCTAAACATCTTTTTATCATGTCAAAATAAGGAAAATGCTACTGCTGAAATATGCTTTTTGGCCACTTGTCCAGAGTGCCTCTGTGTTACAGTAGAGAAATACAGAGATTGAGAATCACATAAAATGTCTTCACCGGTAACTGACTGGGTGACCTTGAAAAGCCTGTCATTTTGACTTTTCTCTGTTCTAAATTGCAAAGGTTTTTTCCGATGATTCTCAGTGTCCTCTCCTATGACTTAGTTTATCTTGCAGTCCAGGACACTGCCATGTAGAGAACGGCTCATACTTTCCCCCTGAAGTTAAATCCGAAGTTGGTGTACTCATGCATGTCTTACCTTTAGCAATGATGCACAGTTGAAGAGTTTCATCTTTGTGTTTCTGTGGGACGAGGGAATAAAGTAAGCAGCTGGATTAGTTTGCAAGGACTGCTGTCACAGAGTACTAGATACTTTTACTTTCTCACAATCCCAGAGGCCAGCGGCCCACGAGCAAGGTTTCAGCAGGTTTGGTCCTTTCTGAGGGCTGTGAGAGAAGGACATGCCTTTCCTCAGATTGTTGGTCATCTTTATATTCCCAAAGAAGGTGTCCTGTAGCTACTTGTTTAGAAACATCTCTGTTGTCTCCTCCCCCTCCCCGTGTGTGTGTGTGTGTGTGTGTGTGTGTGTGTGTGTGTGTGTGTGTGCATTGTGTGGATGTTTTTGGAGGGCAGATGACAGCCTCAGGTGGTGTTTCCTGGGGTCCATCCACCTTGTTGTTGAGACAGGGTTTCTCACTAACATCTGTGGATCAAGGATTGGGCTAGGCTGGCTGGTCAGGAAGCCCCTGGGATCCTTCTCTCCACCTCCTCCACACCCAGTCTCTTTGAGTGATGCCAGGAATATAACTCAGGTACTTGGGCTTGCAAGGCAAGCACCTTACTGTCTGCCATATTTATCCAACACCCAACACTTCCTGTTTATAAGCACACAAGTCATATTAGACCAGGGTCTTCCCTAATGGCTTTACTTTCAATTTATTACCTTTGTAAAGGAATTATTTACAAATAATTTCTCCTACCTAGGGGTCATCTAACTGGGGATTAGATTTCAACATGAGTTTGGGGAAAAGGGTAAAGAAAGATCACTTAATGGCTTAGTGTAGGAAAACGAGGGAAGCTTCTTCCCTGTTCGTGTATGACTGCTTTTTTGGTCTTGATCTTTGTTAACACCATTAAAAACATTCAAAGCAAAAACAAAGCTTACTTGATTCCTAGAGATAAAAGAGAGCTAGCTACCTTGTAATTTGGTGGTATGTGGATATTTCTCAATTGAATATTCAGAAACTTGTGTTTAAGAAAGGCTTAAGCTGAGGAGTTGGGAAATGGCTTAGTTAGTGCATGAACTATTCACTGAGAAAGCATTAGAGCATGCTTTTAGATTCCCAGTCCTCTTGTAAAAAGCCAAGCAGGCCACTACATGCATTGCACACCAGTACCCCTAGTGCTGGGGAGATGGCGGCGGGAGGGAAGAGGGCAAAGACAAAGCAGATTCTAGAGCCTCTGTGTCCAGTAAGCCTAGCTGATAAGAGAAAACTCAGGTTCAGTAAAATGTCATGCTTCCCCCCACACCGCCCTGCCAAAGGTGAAAAGTGATAAAAAGTCACCAACACTAACCTCCTATCTGCATGTTCACACACAATCACATACATAGGTGCCTGCAAAGAAAGAATGGCATAAGTATTTTTGGTTTTTCTTCTCATGTCCTGAAAAGGGGAAAATGCTCATGGACCACTAGACAGATGGTTCTTTCTCCATCTGAAAACAAAAATCACTTCCCTGTGACATTTTCTTTCTCAAAGGCTCTGGCTCTTTTATTAGGAAAATGTGCGTCCCGCACTGATAAGTGGTGGCCTGAAAGATGTTTCATGTTCTCTGAGGAATAGGGAAATCCCCAACCCAAACTCTGATTAAAGAAGACAGCCATGGAAGTCGAGGGAAGTTTAGCAGCATTTATGTAAGACACCAGCTTTCTGGTTTATCATGTGTGGGGTCCATATATTTAAGTTCACGTATATTCAGATGCACTCACCTGCATTTGCACATGCATGGAGGTCAGAGGTTTACCATCAGGTATTTACCTTTATTAAACGCCACTTAATATGTTTGGAATAGAGTCTCCCACTGAATCTGGATGGAGCGTATCACTTTGGCCTGACTGTTGGAGACCGGTCTTCACGTCTCTGACTTTCTTCCCACAGGTGCTGAGATTGCTGTTATATGCTTCCATACTTGGTTTTATGTAATTGCTGGAGATTTGAACTCAAGGTCTATGCTTGTTTGGCAGGCACTTTCCTCACTGAACAATGCCCCTGGCCCAGGACATTAGCTTTCAAAGTAGCTTTCTTTCTTTCTTTCTTTTTTTTTTCTAAGAAAAATAATATTAAAAAATATGTGATGGAAGCAGAGAAGAAAAGTAGAAGTTAGAGAAACAGATGTCTGGCATATGAAAATGGAAACAGTACTAAGTGTGATGAAGGAAAATGGAAAACAACCTGGCAGGCATAACCGCCTGACCAAGGCTGACTATAGTGTCAGAAAAGCACCTGTGGGAAACATAGTTAAAATCCGAAGTAACCCATTCTAATAAGGTATTTGGAAGCATAATATTGTTGTCTAAGAGAACAATGTTAAAACTGAGCTCATGTTGTTGAGGTGTCTCAGGAAGTAAAGGCACTTGCCTCCAAGTCTGACACAATCAGTCTGATTTCCAGAACCCACACATTAAAAGGAGAGGACCAACTCCTTAAAATTGACATCCATGTTCCATATGTGTGCTGTGGTATCCCTCAAATATATATATTTGACCTCTGAGTATAATATATATATTTAAAATATATATTATATTTGTTAAATATATATTTAATTTTATTATTTATATATTATGTAATATATACAATAATACATTATTAAATATATATTTTAAATTGTTATATATTATTGTTATATATACATATACACACTTACATATATACACACATACATATATACATATATGTATATATACCATGTATATATATGTATATATGTACATATATATATATATATATATATATATATATAGCAATAATGAAAATAACCTGAGCTGCCATAGATAGTAGCCAGGATACTTGGTGGGGTGGAGCTATTAACCACCAGCTTTCTCATTTCTAGAGAACAGATATTTAAATCCTTACAACGAATTAATCATGTAACTTGAAGTCATTCTGTCCATGGAGGAAAAAATAGAAACATGTCAAATTCTGAAGAAGAAAAGACACTAGTTATAGAGTAAAACTATGAAATATTAACAAAAAGCAGTCCTCTAATCCTAAGATTTTTGCTGCATATATGGATCTATATAGTTGTTGAACAACGGTGCCCTTGAGACCAATAGACCGTCTGCTAGAGTTTGGAACCATTTACTAGCACTTTAACTAGCTTCAAGGGTATTGACCAATTGCTCTCAGAGCTGGTGACTGCATAGAGTCCTGTGCACCTGCGTACATCCATCTGCTTATTGTCTCCCTCTGAGAGAATGTAGTAGGCACTTGGGAGAAAGAACTGAGTAGAGGCAGGACGGGGTAATTAGTTTAGACTTTTGCAATTTGTTCCTTATATTGAAACAGCTGATATTCTGCCAACTGCAAACAAGAGGGACCTCTTAAAATGCTGCCTTTGAATCGTAATAGCATTTTCATCCCCATTATGAAACATTGATTTGCTAGTAGCAGTATGTCTTCTTCCTGGAG